AGTGCTGTGGCACAATCTTGGCTCACTGCAAGCTCCATTTCCTGGGCTCAAGAGATTCTCCTGCCTTAGCGCCCTGAATCACTGGTACTGCAAACACGTGCCACCATGCCCAGCTAATTTTTTTATTTTTTGGTAAAGATGGGGTTACACCATGTTGGCCAGGCTGGTTTCGAACTCCTGGCCTCACGTGATCTGCCCGTCTTAGCTTCTGAAAGTACTGGAATTACAGGCCTGAGCCACCGTGCCAGACATGACATGTATTTTCTTACTGAAGCCCCATTTTCAGTTGGGAAGACTGAGGTATGGGGAGGCTCAAGCACTTGCTGGAGGCCATATACCTCAGGACTAGAATAAACATAAAATGATATAACAAGTGACACACCCTGACAGAGCCATTACCCAAGGTTCCCAAAGGGGGAAGTTCTCGTATGAGGCATAGAAAAGGCCACAGGGAGGGCTCGGGGTGAACAGGTGTCCAACACGCCAGGGCTTCCAGCACGAGCCAAGACCATCACCTGCTGTTCCAGGGCCTCCTCCCCATGTGGGGCGGCTCCAGCGGTGGGGCGTCCTGCCTTCTCTGTCTTTCCATTTCACTAAGGGAAAGATGACATCACCTGGGAGGTGGGAGGGCATGAGGATGAGACAGAGGTGAAGACCCGCGCAGATCTGAGATGTTGGGGCTGAGGTGGATTCTTCTGGAGAGGAGGCTGTCTGGGCCCCTGAGAGCACAGCTGTCCTGGGATCCTGCTGTCCCACTGGTTGTGGTCAGGGTTAGGCAGGGGTGCGGAGCTCAGGACTCAGGAAGAATCCAGAAGGTAACAGCACAGTTCAGGGCGAGCCAGACCCAGACCAGCGCTGGTCAAAGACTGTTCTGGCCAGCAGGGGCTGACGAGGGGCCTGGACAGGCAGCCTGCCTGCTCCTGCTCACGCCCAGCAGCCCGCAAGCTCTGCTGTCTCCTGCCCCATCTGTCACAGACCTGCACAGCTGTACCAGGGACCCCAACACCCATTCCTCAAGCATCTCCCTAGTTGAGGGCTGGAGGCACCCGCCTCCCCTGATCACTCGGCCACGCAGCAGGCCCTAGGCAGGGAGCTCCTGGCCCTAGGCAGGGCCGGGCTCTTCCAGTGTTCCCTGAGTGTGGGGCCCACACACAGTAGGACCGCAGGCGACTTTGATTGGAAGCTGGCCCCTCCGAGGTCTGCAGCTGCAGTGTGAGCCTCTCAGCTCCAGTGGAGGAGGGTTTTCCCCAGGGACTAGGCAAAGGGACTGAGGCTGGGCTGAGCCCTGCTCTGCGACCATCTTGCTTAACACCCAGTGGAGGAGTTGCTCAACCCAGGAGCTGCCAGGCCTCAGGGGAGGGGAGGGTGGTAAGGTTCGCTTCCCTCTCCACCCCTCGCAGGGGATGGGGCTAATTCAGTCCAATTATCTGTGCTTGGACACCGCTTCCCCCAATGGCTGTGAGCTCAGAAGGCCGTCCTGCAGCCCTTGGGAGAGGAGGCCAGGGAGGGGCCTTCAACATCTAGGCTCAGCACAGGGGTGGGCGGCTCCTGGCTCTGCCTGCCCAGGCCATGGGGATGTGGGTCGTGATGTCGGGCCCCCATGTGGCCAGCTCCCTCCAGGGTAGCCCACTGGCTGCGGCCTCCACCCTGTCCTCTGCATCTGTACCTTCGGCCCTGCACAGACCCTTCCCAGCTTTCTGCCTGCTGTGGGGGTCCCGCTGCCCCTCAAACACCTGGAATAGAAGCTCAGCAGTGCAGTGATTCTAAGGAGCTCCACTCAGGAGAGGCTTACAGGAGACATAGGGATTCCTCAGAGATAGCCGCTTCATCCAGAAATGCAGGGGACGGGGAAACAGCACCCAGGACCAGAGGTGGTCTTAGCCCCATTTTCTGGGAGTGGGGCTAGACGTGGAAACCCCTTGGGAAGCAGGGATTTTGCAGGGGCCTCCCCAAGATGACGCGCCAGGGATGGTGGGTGCACTTGTTGGCTTACTGGGTTTTAGGGCATTTGAATATATCTTTTGCTTAGTTTTCCAAGTAGAGATGGGGTCTGGCATGGAGAAGGTGGGTGTGGAGAGTCTTCCCTGTGGCCGAGGGGCTGGCAGCAGGCACGGAGCTGGGCACTGTCCCTGGGCAGGGGTCCTGCCATCACCCCATCCTATCCTCCTACGTTGGGCAGCTGGCGTTGGCCTGACCGCTCCAGTCACAGCCCAGGTATCCCCAGCTGCCACCTCCAGGCCTGGGACCAGCAGGGTCCTCTGGGGCTAGAATCACGCACTTGGCATGGGGAGGAGGCCTAGCTCGACATGGGATGTTGGGAGGTGCTCTCCTTCCCCCAGCCCTGGTCCCTTTCAGCAATGACTATCAGCCAATAGAGTTGAAGTTCACACCCAAATTGGTACAACCTCAAGGAACAGTGACTTATAAAGAACCCATGCAACGCAATAATAAAAAGGCAAGTGAACCAATTAAAACAAGGGCAAAGAATCTGAATACACGCTTCTCCAAGGAAAAGACAGGCACAGGAAATGTTCAGCACCATTACTCGTCAGGGAAATGTCAATCAAAGCCACGATGAGACGACACTCCACACCAGGGTGCAGTGAAAATGTGCGGGCGCTAGGACTTACAAACAGATAAGTGCCGGTGAGGATGTGGGACGGCTGGACCCTCCCATAGTGCGGGTAGGTTGAGACGGTGCAGCCGCCCTGGAAAACAGGCTGGCATGGAGCTGCCGTGTGACCCAGCAAACCCACTCCCTGGTGTGCACCCGATGACTGAGGAAGCACGTCCACACGTACTCGGACAGTGTTCACGGCAGCATCATTCTTTTTTTATTATTATTTTCGAGACAGGGTCCCCCTCTGTCACCCAGGCTGGAGTACAGTGGTGCAATCATAGCTCACTGCAGCCTCAACCTCTCGGGTTCAAGCCAATCCTCCCTCCTGAGCCTCCTGAATAGCTGGGAATACAGGTATGTGCCACCATGCCCAGTTCAATTTTGTGGGGTTTTTTTTTGTAGAGACAGGGTCTTTCTATGTTGCCCAGGCAGGTCTTGAACTCCTGGCTTCAGGTGATCCATCTGCCTCAGCCTCTCAAAGCGCTAGGATTATAGGCATGAGCCCCTGTGCTTGGCCAGCATGAACTCATAACAGCCCCAAATGCAAACAGCCCAAATATCCACCAGCTGATGGATGGATAAGCCAAGTGTCATCTGTGCACACACCAAATGCAACTCAGCTACGAACACGCCATGACACAGGTGAAGCTTGAACACGCTGTGCTGAGTGACAGGGGCCAACCACAGAAGGTCAGGTGGCGGGTGCGGTCACACACAGGCAGTGCTATGCATGTGAGCTTTGTGCATGCACGTCCTCGTTCTGAAGGCCGTTTCTCTAGCATTTAAAAAAGAACCCAGCAGCTCTTCCTGCTTGGCTGCACGGGCTGAGGCCACATGGACCCCTCTGCTCTGGAGTCCACTTCACCCCTCAGCACCCAGGCGAGATGATACCATGTGCCTTAGCAGATGGGGACACTGAGGCTGGGTCACCCATCTCATGGGGGCTGTTGCAGGAATGAGCCACAGGCCTGTCTGTGCCAGAGACAGGCACGAGAGATCCCCCACTGACCGCACCCCGCAGAGTCAGGCTGGAGAAGCCCCACAGCCTCACAGAGAGGGAGATGTGGACATGCGTCAGGACAGGCGGACGCAGCCTAGATGGGGCTTGCCTTTCCCAGAGGGGCCTTGCCTGTGCCCCCTCTCTCTCCCTCCCTCCCTCCCTCCCTCCCTCTCACTCATCATCCCCTTCTGTCCATCTGTTCATCATCTATCTGTGTGATCTATCATGTGTCTATATCACCTGTCTGTCCTCCACCGTCCATGTCTATCGTCTGTATTATCAAGCAGTCTCCTTGTCCTCTACCTGTGTCATCTGTTTATCTGCCATCTGTGACTCATCTGTCACCACCATCATCTCTATCCACGATCTATGAACCTATCCTCTTCCTTCACTTCCCTCCCCTCCCCGCCCCACCCCACACTGTGACTGACACTCCTCTCACTTCCACCTGCAATGTGGTGGGGGGCTGTGACTGTCCCAGACCATGCAGGACAGTGGCCTGTGACCTCTGACATGGGGTCACATGAGGATGTGGCTTCTGCCTGGCCCCTCGCCCCTGCCCTGCCTCCACATACACAGCTGGGCCCCTCTGCAGCCTCCATACTGCAGAGGCCATTCGAAAAGAGCCCAGGAACAGGGCCCTGAGCCCAGTCCTGCCCACTCAGGGGCTGGAACCCATGCAGCAAGGGAGGAGCCCAGTGACTCCAGCCTCCTCATACCTGCTTGTGAACTGCCCAGCTGAGCCCAGCCAGCCCCAGAGCCATAGAGGTGGGAGCCAGAAGATGAGGTTTGAGGCCCTAAGTTTGGCTGGTCTGTGCACAGTGATTGGTATGTGCACTGGTGGCCTCAGAGAATCCCAGCACCCCCAGCCCCATGTCCAGGCCACTCACCTCAAAGAGAGGCCTCGGTGAAGCAGGAACCCCACCTCAGCGGGTGCCCATGAGGGCTGATGCCTTCCCACAATCTGCCTTGAGAAGAACTGGGACCCCGGGGAGGGTCTGTGGCTCTGCTGTCCAAAGGGCCCCTGCCTGGACCATCCCGCCCTGGCCCCTACCACTGCCCCCACTGGTGGGTAGATCCCTGCCTTGCCCAGGCTCTGGGTCAGCCCCTGCAGTCCCTCACTGCACCCCACACTTTGTAGGCACCTACCCTGTGCTGCCCTGATCTGGACCAAACGTGGGTCTCCATACCCCCTGAAAATTGAGCTGGCAGAAGCGGTGGGGGCAGGTGGTGGGAAGGGGCTCCTTGCTCTACTTAGATCCCCAAGTCCCCTGTGGGCTACTGAGTCAGGAAGGCATGGGGCTTCAGGATGCACGGCCCTGGCCCTAGCCTGGGTCCTGGGGCAGAGGCCTACCTGCACGAACCACACAGTCCCTGCCCCAGGTGACAGCCACCTGGCCCTGCCCCTGCAATTGACCTTCGAGGCTGCCTCAGTGCTGCCACCGTCCAGCAGGGGCCGCCCCACCACAGCACTTCTGCTTCCTTGAAGGTCATGCAGCCCCTGCAGACTAAGCGGGGCGGGCTCCCGCCCCCTACCCCAAACCATCGTACTCTGTCCGGCCCTGTCAGGCGGGCGGCCCCGAAGACCAAGCCTGGTGCCCTAAGTCATGACCTCCGCCCCACTCTTCAGAGTGGACGAGCAGGCCACCACCCTCCCCTCCGAGTGCAGATACCTGAGGCGCACAGCTGTCTAGAGCCACAGGGCCCCCCACCGACCAGAAGGACCTGGTGCCACTCCGGGTCAAGCCTGAGTCACCCACATACCTCACAACCAGGAGCTGTAGGGACAGAAGTCCCTGAAGATGTGTGCGTCCTGGCCCCTGGGACCTATGAACATGGTGCCTTACATGGCAAGAGGGACTCTGCAGATGGGGTTGTTTGAGACCGATAGGGATGGTCCTGGATTAGCAGGGCCCCGTGCAGGCCCAGGGATCCTGAGAGGGAGGCAGGAGGTCAGAGCCAGAGGCACACGCTCAGGGGCAGGGGCTGGAGGGATTGGGAGGGGCTGCACTGCTGGCTTGAGGATGGACGAAGGGCCCAGCTCAGGACTGAGGTGCCTCTACATGCCAGAGAAGGTGGGAAACAGGTTTTCCCCAGAGCCTGCTGAGGGCGGACACAGCCCTGTTGGGCTATTTATAATTTGAATCAGGGTCTTGCTCTGTCTTCCAGGCTGAAGTGCAGCAATGTGATCATAGTGTACTGCAGCCTCTATGTCCCAGGCTCAAGCGACCCTCCCGCCTCAGCCTCCTGAGCAGCTGGGACTACAGGTACATGCCACCATGCCAGGGAAGTTTTTTTAAAAATTTGTAGAGACAGGGTTTCACTGTGTTGCCAGGGCTGATCTCAAACTCCTGGCCTCAGGCGATCCTCCCACCTTGGCCTCCTAAACTGCTGGGATGACAGGCGGGGGCCACGGTGTCCAGCTTGGGCCCCTTTTAGACACTGCTGTGGAATAGTAATGCTTGCGTTGCTTTAAGCCACTGGCAGACAGTAATCTGTTAATGCAGCCAGAGGAAACGATACAGGAAGCTTCAGGAAGGTGGTTTGCCTTGCTTCTGAAGCCTGGGTGGAACACAGCCAGCGCTCCGACTAACCGGCCTGTGCAAATGAGGCCCCGCACATCAGCCCCTGGGCTGCAGATCCGACCCTGGGGGGCTCCAGGCCTCAAGGTCAGGCCTCGCCCTCCTGGGAAGAACCATGGGGCCAGGCCTGCGACCACAGCCACCTCTGGTTTACCTCATGCCCAAGGGGAACGCTTGGAAAATGTTCCGGAAATTCTCTTTGGGAGCCTTTTAATAATGTGGCTGGCTTATCATGACAAGTGTATATGAGAAATAAAATGCATTCTGCACATGACAGATGATGAACTACCCGAAATATCTTCTGAGAAGCTCTGGTGGGAACAACAGGGTGTCTGGATTCTTAAGCTGAGTACATTTAGCAACCAGACCTAGAAAATCAAAGGCAACGTCGGGAAGCCACTGGTCATTCGTAAGGACTCAGGCTGTCCACGCAATGGCGATATTCTGGGACTCAGCCTTCTTTGCCTGTGACCCGCTAAAACCATTCATGCCGGCATCATCCCTATTGGAAATTCACTGAAGTTATTTCTAAATGAGAACTGACTCAATCTATTCCACTACAGTTTCATACAAAGCATTTTTTTTCTCATTTCAAAATAATTTCAGACTTCCAAAAAGTTGCAAAAATAGGACAGTGTGTATACCCAGTTCCCCAAAGAACATCTTACGTAACACTAGGAGGCGTTGGCCGTCACTTCACAGAAGGTCCCTGGGTTTGGGTCTGTGTCTGATGTCTCCTGGGGATTAGATTCGGGTCATGCAGTGCGGCAGAAGAACCATGTGACACTGTGCTCTCAGTGATGCCACCAGGTCGGCGTTTCCTGTACAGTTTGCTCCTGGCAGTGACCATGGGGTTAAGGGGCCTCTGCTGCTCTGCTGTTATGTGACCACTGTCTCTCTGGAGGTCACTGCACATCTCCAGGGGAGGTTTCTCAAGACTCAGCAGACACCTGCTTCACACCACACGTCACCCTCACTTCATGTCCACTGAGGGTTCTTTATTTTTTGAGACAGCTCTGTCACCAGGCTGGAGCGTAATGGAGCAATCTTGGCTCACTGCAACCTCTGCCTCCTGGGTTCAAATGATTCTCCTGCCTCAGCCTCCTGAGTAGCTGGGACTGCAGCTGCGCACCACCACACCCAGCTATTTTATGGATTTTTAGTAGAGACAGGGTTTCACCATTTGCTCTTGACCTTGTGATCCACCCGCCTCAGCCTCCCAAAGTGTTGGGATCACAGGTGTGAGCCACCCTGCCAGTCTAATTTTTGTATTTTTAGTAGACACGGGGCTTCTCCATGTTAGCCAGGCTGGTCTTGAACTACTGGCCTAAAGTGAGCTGCACGCCTTGGCCTCCTGAAGTGTTGGAAGTACACGCCTGAGCTGCCACGCCCTGGCCTACTGAGGGCCATAATCTGCACCCGTCACTACTGTGGCTTCTCTAATGGCAATTTCCTGTTCCCAACACTTCTTCCACATTAGAATTAATACAACAGGCCAGGCGTGGTGGCTCACACCTGTAATCCCAGGACTTTGGGAGGCCGAGTCGGACGGATCACAAGGTTAAGAGATCGAGACCATCCTGGCCAACATAGTGAAATCCCATCTCTACTAAAATATAAAAATTAGCTGAGCATGGTGGCACATGCCTGTAGTCCCAGCTACTTGGGAGGCTGAGGCAGGAGAATTGCTTGAACCCTGGAGGCGGAGGTTGCAGTGAGCCGAGATTGCACCACTGCACTCCAGCCTGGCGCCTGGCAACAGAGCAAGACTCTGTCTCAAAAAAAAAAAAAAAAAAAAAAGAATTAACACAACAGACCTGGCCCTCCCCTCACTGACATGCTTAACCTAATTACTTATGTCGTCAAGACTAGTGGATATTAAATTATTCTGTGGGGTATCATGGCTCTCGGCAGACTTAACCTCTGGCTCAAGTGATCCTCCCGCCGCAGCCTCCTGAGTATTTGGGATTACAGGGGGGCAACACCACACACGGCTGATTTTTCTTATTTTTTGTAGAGGTGGGGTTTCACATTTTACCCAGGCTGGTCTTGAACTCCTGGCCTCCCAAAGTACTGGGCTTGCAGGTGTGGGCCCCACGCCCGGCCTGTTTAACTTCATGCTTGAACTATCCCAGGCTGGCCGCCATGTGCTCCTTTCCGTACCCCCGTGTTATTGCAACAAGTCCCACCATCTCTCAGCAATTCTCACTTTCGGGCTCCTCCTTCACTCTCTGGCCTGGCCCTGGCTCCTTTGGTTAGCGAATAGCCCTGGGTGCCGGGGTGGCTGCATCTGGGCCCTCAGCGCAGAGCTGGGAAACATCCGTGCACAGCCCCCCGACACAGTCCCCCAACACACGGTTTCAGTTACCCATGGTCAACCACAGTCCAAAAAGACTAAGTGAAAAATTCCAGAAATCAACCATTTGGGAGTTTTTGATTCTGTGCTGTTCTGAGCAGCCGTCCTGCTGGGACACAAAACCTCCCTCCATCCAGCAGCTCAGGCCATCCACGCCACCCTGCCCACCAGGCACTCAGCAGCCACCTCAGTGATGAGCCGACTATCGTGGTGATGCGGTGCCTGGGTCCAAGAAGCCTTTATTCCACTTAATAAAGGCCCCGAAACCCACAAGTGGTGATCCTGGCGATTCAGATATGCCAGAGAAACTGCCAAGTACTTCCTCTAAGGGAAAAGGTGAAAACGCCTGACCTAAAAGAAAAACAATCATATGCCGAGGTTGCTAAATTCTTTGGGAAGAACACACCTCCTATCTGTGGCATTTTGAAGAGGGAAAAAGAAATTCCTGTCGGTTTTGCTGTCATACCTCAGACTTCATCACAGATACGCAGGAAAAAGCACGGTCTACACAGGATTGGTGCCCATCCGAGGCTTCAGGCATCGCTGGGTATGGAGCACACCCTGGGCAGGTGAGGGTGATCACTCTACTTCTCCATCCAGTTACCTTTGTATGTCTCTTGCTTTGGTCAGTAGTTTTCCATGTCATTCAGGCTGGCATCTTCTTCCCCACGCCCCAGTGGGTCAGAGTGCAACGCGAAGAGGCAGGCCCGAGCGCCCTGTCATAGCCCCGAGGCCGGCCATGCTCATCAGCTGCAGCTCATCCTTCTGGTTTCTCGTTTTCGGGGATTAGCAGGTGTCTGTAGTTTCCCGTGGCCCTGCCCTTCCCTGCTTTACAGTAAGCTCAAGCCATAGAGCCGCACTGCGTCAGCACAGGTTCCATGGTGGATGCATCACAGCTAACACGTGCTGTGAGGGCACTGGGGTTGCTACAAACAGTGCTGCGGTAATCCTATGCCTACACAAAATATTCTGATGACAAAAAACAGCTTTTCGGCCAGGTGCAGTGGCTCACACCTGAAATCCCAGCACTTTGGGAGACCGAGGCAGGTGGCTCATCAGGTCAGGAGTTCAAGACCAGCCTGACCAAGATGGTGAAACCCTGTCTCTACCAAAAATACAAAAATTAGTCAGGTGTGGTAGCGGGTGCCTGTAATCCTAGCTACTCAGCAGGCTGAGGCAGAGAATTGCTTGAACCCGGGAAGTGGAGGCTGAAGTGAGCTGAGATTGTGCCACTGTACTCTAGCCTGGGTGACAGAGCAAGACTCAGTCTTAAAAAAAAAAAAAAAAAAAAAACCCAAGACTTTTCATAAACTAGCAGTGGTACATTAAAAAGTCTGCAGCACCGAGAGACCTAACAGAGCAGACACGAGACAAGTGGCAGCTGCAGCCGGGAGCAGGTGGTGGAACCCACAGGTGCAGGGTCACAGCGCTGGGCAGGCGGGTGGAGGTGGGCCAGCTGCAGTAGTATTCAGTTGTGGCGGGGGTTGAGGGGGACATGTTTAACCAAGAAAGGGCCACCACTGTGGGACAGAAACAGAGGGCCTTTGCTACAGAGAGCTGGAGATGAGCTGAGAAGCCTCAGTCACCCACAGGCAGGAGGGGCGAGGGCAGCCCGTTTCCCGGAGCCTGAGGTCGGCCAGGTTGGTGGCCCCAAACTGCCAGAGCCTGGAGACACCTTTTGCAAGGGTCGTCAGAGAGGATGTGGCCTGGATCCCCCACCCCATCTCCTGCCGCCATCCTCCACTAACCAAACAGGAGCCAGCCCCTTTCTGACAGCACCTGTGAAGAGGACGGGTCTGGCCGAGGCCCCAGACACAGAGGCACCTGCAGCAGGTGTGGGCCCCGGCTGCCCTGACGCACTGGGTGGACTCAGGCCGTGTTTCCCTGACTCCCAGGCAACTTTGGTGCAGCCATGCTGGGAACATGTGCCAGGGGTCTTGGGCGGTGCTGGCTGGCAAAGAAGACAGCCGGTGTGAGCCTGACCGCAAATGGACTCACATTCTCTTTTTCTGTTAAAATATGGCAGTTATTAAAGTTAATTACCTAGCTTTATAAATATGGTCTCATACAAATCAGAAAATGACCTTTTGATCATGAAGCTACTTGGTGTTCAGGCAAAACCAGAAAAAATCAAGAAGTCAAATCCATCCAAAGCTAGAAGTTTCTCACTTCCTATTTTGTGTTCTACTGTTTTTATAAAAAAAAAAGAAAAAAAAAAGGAAATGAACTAGCCTAACAAATACACACAGGAAAACATTCTGCTAGGGAATGGTAATTTTCTGATGATACCTGTGTTTAGAAGGGACTGAAATTGATGTCCATTTACCTGTTTGAAGTCAGAAAGCATCAGAGGACTGCAACATAAAACCACTCCACACAAGAGCGCCCCGGTCCTCGAAGACTAGAGATCTTGCCCCACGCTCCCCTCCCTTCCAGGCTTGCTGGGAAACTCCATCCCACTCAGGGGTTCAACGCAGAAATACCTTCCTCAGGGAAAACAGGACACTACTTCCCTACCCAGGAGATGCCACCACAGGGCAGAAGCCTCTATTTGGGCTTCACAAGGACACCACACACAGTTAAGGACACTACATGCAGGCCTTCGCCAACCTAAGACGCAGGATGGTACCCTCTGTCCCAAGAGACCACTGAACACGGCCCAGGAGTCTTCTCATCAAAATTCATTTTTTTGCTTCTGATTTTCCACCAATCAAGTCTCCAAATCCCAGTTTCTCCAATGGTTCTTGTAGCATCAATTTTCTAAAAGAAAAAGAGAATGCCGTCAGGACGGGAGGTGCAGGGAGGAGGAAAGGCGCTCTCGCAGGTCCTGCTTCTCAATGCACACCAGGGTTCCTGCTACCCCTATCTACATCCTGGGAAAATGAAACCCAGAGAGCAGCCCCTCAGCCTTGCCCCCAGTGGCTGCCACCCTCTGCACTGGGCAGAGTCAACAGGGCCATGAGGACATGACCAGCAAGGCCATCCCAGGGCCGAAGGCCTGTGGCCTCCAGGGATGCCCAAGGGGGCCACTGCGCCCATGGCTCCAGAACCCTTCCCCATGTCCTGGTAAAAGATGTATCTGGACAACAGCTTCATGCTGACCTCATAGATTTGCGTTTGTTGGGAGAATAATGACTCTAAAGATGGTCACACCCTAATCCCTGGAACCTGTGCCTGTCACCTTCCACGGCACCCTGGCAGAGAAGACCTCAGGGTGCCACTTGCCCAGACGGAACTAAGACTGAGGTCAACAATTAGCTAATTTTCTTTTCGAGACAGGGTCTCACTTTGTCTCCGAGGGTGGGACACAGGGGTGCAATGCACAGTTCAAGTTCACTGCAGCCTTGAACTCCTGGGCTCAAGTGATCCTCCTGCCTCAACCTGCTGAGTATCCGACACTGCAGGTGTATCCCACCATGCCCAGCTAACTTTTTTTTCCCCGAGACAATCTCACTCTATTGCCCAGGCTGGAGTGCAGTGATGCAATCTTGGCTCACTGCAGCCTCCACCTCCCAGGTCCAAGCGATTCTTGTGCCTCAGCCTCCTGAGTAGCTGGGACTACATGGACACACCACCATACCTGGCTAATTCTTATATTTTTAGTAGAGATGGGGTCTCACCATACTGGTCAGGCTGGTCTCAAACCAGCCTGAAGTCAGGAGTCTCAAACTCCTGACTTCATTTGATTTGCCTGCCTCGGCCTCCCAAAGAGCTAGGATTACAGGCATGAGCCAC